TATGATATGATATTAGTTTAAAATGCACTTGATGACTCAAACAAAGCCACCGTTGAGCAAATTCGTACCTATACTTCCCTACCCATACTTCAGAATATTTATCATAACTTTTGATGGAATGAACTGATTTTAATGAAATAAAGACTAAATGTAACCCGAAGATACACTTTATAATTTCCTTAACAATTCTTATGATATAAATTAGTACTTTATACGTGATACGTTAACAAACAAACAGACAGACAGACAGACAGACAGACAGACAGAAAATTCTAAAAATGGTAGAAATGTATTTAATTACTTATTTTTAGTACCCCTCAATCACTTTTATTACAAAAATATTAAATGTACAGACATCTGCTATTTACAGTTTTATTATATGTATAGAAGATTAAATTAGAATTAAATAAAAAAATCTAAACAATTTAAAACTTGCAGTAAGGTATAATTGATAATATTTGCATGATTGTGTTGCAAGAATGTGTGTGTGTGTTTTTTTAAATTTATTTATTAGAAGTGCTTTTTTATTTCGTTTTTTAATATTTTATTACAAAATATAATAAATTTTGTTCTTCTAAATAACCATCAAATATTTTTTAAATCATTTCTTTCATAATTCATTCAGTAGAGGGTTAAGAGCACTTTGATATTTGAATTTTTGACACTAGATATTGTAAATTTAATACATTTTGTCTTATTGCCGTTTAAGAGCATTGGCGTTAAACCAATGTACTAATTTCGATAGAGCATTATTTACATTGTCAAAATTAATTGACTGTAATTTGAGTTTGAAAATTAAAAGAGCAAATAATAGTATAATAGTGATTGCCCCCTACAAGATAAGGTAAGGCATTAATATAGACTAAGAACAGGAATGGGCCAAGAATCGCGCCCTGAGGAATGCCCCCACACAGACACACACACAGACACACACACGCACACACACAGAGTAAATAAAAAAGACAGAGATAAATAATGTTCTTTTATACGTTTTTTGAACAATGTCACTGTTTAGATTTCTCGAATGGGAGGAGGAAGTGAATTCCAAAGTGTTGTTACTTAAATATGAAATAATAAGTCTAAGCGCAATATTTTTGACACCATAATATTGTGGTTTCCGGATTAATATCTCATGATGAACATAATCGAAAGCCTTGGAAAGATCACAGAAAATACCTAAGGCATCTTGTGAACTCTCTAGGTCTGAAATTAGCGGGGTCCAATGTACTACCAGATTTAAATAATGGTATTACTTTACTATGTTTCATTAAATCAGAAAACACAGCAATAATGATGCAAAATTTGATACTGATGGAAGAAGCTTCCAGGAGATTGATATTAAAGTCTCCACATACTACAAGAGATTTATTCTGTTTATTAAGCTTAACTAAAACTTCTTCCATAATTTTTTCAAAAGTATCATAACTTGAACATGGTGGTCTGTAAACACTGACAACAATAAGGTGCTCAAGCTCAACACATGCCATTTCTACAGTACGCTCAACAGAGAGGCTCACAATGTCTTTACGTTCTTTAATAATAATAATAATAATATTTTATTCAGACTCAGTCCATAGAGATGTTAGTATAACATTAATAATAATAATAACAATAATATATATATATACAACGTGTCCCAAAATTCAACGATAAGCCAACACCGGAGGATAGACATGCCCCGGACTAATCGGGTAAAAAAAGAAAAAAAAATATATCCCAATTATATTTTAAGTTATATAAAAAAAATGAAATTCTTCAGAAATTGAGACCGTTTATGATATTTTTCACTACCATGACCACAATTTTTTAAATATTTTTTTCTTTTTTTTTATAGGCAACCTGAATAGTACTGCTATCTACCACAATTCTTAAAAACTCCAGAATAACTCTTGTTTTATCACGAAAATTAATGAAACTTATTTTATTCCCTAAATTTTTTGAAGACTTTTACTTTTAACCAAATTTAACTTATCGTGGTGTAAAAAAAAAGTATGAACACTAGTATGGCAAGTTTTTTTAAAAATTGACGCAACTAACCAATATTCCAAAATGGTATAATACTCTAGGAAAACAAGTTATAAAAAAATATGGGCCTATTATTTCTTAACAGGGGCCAAATGACGGTCGGGTGTAATAAAAGTATTATTTCTTGAAAAATGTTTAATATTTCAAAACAAATGGTACAAACAGTTTCACGTGTAATTTATTAAGTTATTAACATTATAGCAAATGTTCGAACTGTTTGCCACCAGCATTAATACATGCACGACATCGCCTTAAAAATGATCGTTTTATTTGTCTTGCATATCTTCTGCTATTAATGTAATCAGCAGCCTGAGTGATATTTCGACGAAGCTCGTCCAATGTCACAATGGGTTTTGAGTAGACCCTGTTTTTAAGACAACCCCAATAGAAGAAGTCCAGGGGGTTCAAATCGGGTGAACGGGGTGGCCATAAGATAGGACCAAGTCGCCCGATCCAACGCCCTGGATACTCTTGATTTAAATATTCTCGCACAGGACGGGCATAATGTGCTGGGCAACCATCATTTTGGAACCACATGTTTTGAAGTTCACTTAAGGGCACGTCGTTTAACAATTCTTGCAAGTCATTTTGTAAAAAGTTTAAATAACTATTGCCATCTAAGTTTCCTTGTAACTCAAAGGGCCCAATTACTTTTCCATTTAATATGCCGGTCCATAGGTTAACCTTGAATTGATATTGGGATTTGTCTTGTCTCATCAAGTGTGGATTTTCATTACTCCAACTATGTAGATTGTGAAGATTTAAATACCCATCTTTCTTGCACGTTGTTTCATCCGACCATAGAATTTTGTCTAGGAAGTGGGGATCTTCACTGTGCCTTTGCAGCATTACACGGCAAAATGTGACCCGTAGCGGATAGTCCCGCGGTAATAACGTCTGCACACTCCTGTAGTGATATGGGTGAAGCTTGTGACGTTTTAATATTCGACGTGCAGAACTTTTCGGGATTCCTGTAGATTCTTCTATGGCACGTACCGAAGTAGTCGAGTCATTTTCTATCTCCTTGAGAACTTCTTCATCACGATCCAATCTAGGTCTTCCAGCGCTGCTCCTATTGGATGGCATACGACCCTCCGAAAACGCTTGATGCACATTAATAAACACTCGATAATCAGGATATCTTTGAGCATTTGGGTATCTTTCTGGATACAGTCTGCTAGCAGTGTTAGCATTACATCGGCATTCTCCATAGATTAAATGCATATTAGCGTATTCCTGTGGTGTGTACGGTTGCGGCATGTTAAACGCCAAACAGTCCAAAATGCGCCAGAACTCTAAATCACAAAACACACAATCGTAGTCCAAGATAATGCCAGGTCAGTTCAGTTTGCAGATCACTTCCAGTCCAAATAATGCCAGGTCAGTTAAGTTTGCAGGTCGATTCCAGTCCAAAAAGCCAAGCCAAAAGTCGATAGTATGTACGAGGGCCACGTAAGTTGAATTGGGTACGGTGCGCAGTAAACAAAGGAGCAGAGCGTACTGAACCGACTTGCTGAGAATAATAACAGCTTCTCTACCTGCCCTGTTGTTGTCTCTTTTTAACGTAAATATCTCTATCTATCTATCTCTCTCTAACATCTAAGGTATTAATGCCCCATTCGAATTCCTAGAAATTGTAACAGGAACCCATTTTGGGCATGTAGTAAAAGTGATTACTGACAATTACAATTTAAGGAATTTGGCCCCTGTTAAGAAATAATAGGCCCATATTTTTTTATAACTTGTTTTCCTAGAGTATTATACCATTTTGGAATATTGGTTAGTTGCGTCAATTTTTAAAAAAACTTGCCATACTAGTGTTCATACTTTTTTTTTACACCACGATAAGTTAAATTTGGTTAAAAGTAAAAGTCTTCAAAAAATTTAGGGAATAAAATAAGTTTCATTAATTTTCGTGATAAAACAAGAGTTATTCTGGAGTTTTTAAGAATTATGGTAGATAGCAGTACTATTCAGGTTGCCAATAAAAAAAAAAGAAAAAAATATTTAAAAAATTGTGGTCATGGTAGTGAAAAATATCATAAACGGTCTCAATTTCTGAAGAATTTCATTTTTTTTATATAACTTAAAATATAATTGGGATATATTTTTTTTCTTTTTTTACCCGATTAGTCCGGGGCAGGTCTATCCTCCGGTGTTGGCTTATCGTTGAATTTTGGGACACGTTGTATATAACAATAATTGTTACATGATAAGGATTTATTAGCTAATATTAAGGAGCCACCACGTAATTTTGTATCTCTATTGATCGAACTGACCACCTGGTGATTACTGAAATTAAATTTGGAGTTGTAATCTTTCAACCAATGTTCAGTAATACATAAAATATGTATACTGTTACTATTTAAAAATAATTCAATTTCTAATTCTTTGCCTAACATACCTTGTATATTTTGATACACCAGGTTGATACAGTTTTTATTATTGTTATTTTGTAAAATTGCATAATTATGTATTGGTAAGTTGCATTCTAAGCTATTTAAATTATCTTTGCTAGAGATTACCTCTATTGTCTTATTATTTAATTTAAATTACTTGGAACTGGTTCCAAATCAAATGTAAAGTTATTTTGTTGCTCAAAAGAAGCAGGTGTTAAGGTAGCCTAAAATTTGGCTGGGTTAAAATATAATTAATAAGATAGCGTCTTTGCTACCAGTCTTAAACTATACTTTGATAGGTAATACTTATCTCTTGTCAAAAATATGATCATACAATTTTTTATTCTTTGTTTTTTAGATAATTAATTTTTACAGCCATGAAATGTGAATGAAAAATAAAAATACAAAGTATTACCTTGTATTTTTATTTTTCATCCTTTACCTTTAAAATGTAAATCTTTGTGAAAATCTGAAAAGAAAATAACAGGCATTAATTGACTTATATTATTAATACAACATTAATAGAATTAAATATTTTACAGGGGACTCAGGCTATGCATTAGATTGCCTTGGCTGATGACTCCAGATTTGGAAGCTGCACCAAATAGTTCTGCAGAAAAATATACTAAATGGCATTGCCAAGTGAGAAACTGTGTAGAAAGAATGAATGGGTACCTCAAAAGCACATTCTCAAGCCTAGGCATTGACAGGGTACTCCAACAAAGTCGAAATAAGGCTTCACAACTAATATATGATTGTCCAACACTATACAATATCATGCTACATTATAGGTGTGTTTTGTAAATACTTGTACATTATAGATTATATTGTCACACACATAATTATTATTGGAGTGTTTGATAACTTTTAAACATTATTAATTTAATTTGTATATTGAAGAATTCCAATGAAACAACCAATGGACAACTTAGATGTAACGAGTGAAAAGAGCAATTCTCTCATCACATCTGTGGATCAAACCAGGCTGTTGACAATTGCTCGACAAAAAAGAGAAGGATTAATAAATACATACTTCAACTAAAATTTATTTGCATAGTTACCTTTTCATCCTTTTGAGTTTATTTTTATGAGCTAGATGGGCATTCTGTGCACGAAGCAATTGATTTTGCTCATGTAAAAGGTTGTTGCGCTCTTTGAGCCTTTCATCTATACTCTGAAAAATAAGGTCAAATTTATATTGACTGTAGTAGAACAATATTAATCAGCATTCATGCAACTAGCTGTGATAGTTCAGATAGTTAGCACTCACTGTAAGTATCACAGTACACAAGCAACCCTGGTTCGATCCCCGCAGGCATCAATGAAATTGTTAATTGCAATTTTAAGGGCTGATTTACCACATGCTCGGCGGTGAAGGAAACATTGTGAGGAAACCGGCATGTCTGAGAAATAAGAAAAAAACATATTTTAAAGACGTGAAGTTCGCCAACACACATTGGGGCAGCGCAGCAGACATTTCCTTGCCCTAAAACCCTCTCAGAAATGAGAGGAGGCCTGTGCCCAGTTGTGTGACATATATAGGCTGTAACTTTAACTTTATGCAATTAGTAATGAAGTAAAAAAGAATTGTTACTTGTAAATATGCATTATTTTCTTGCTGGAGGCGAATGAAAGCATCTTGGGTATCATGCTCCACCATCGACTCTTCAATGATTTCCTGCTGTGCAATTAGAAACATAAGCTTCACATGCTTTCAAAGACAAAGTTACACAGACAAAATATTAGAACTTCATAAGTACACACATTTGCCTGGCCTATTGAAGACTCTTCAGGCCCAATACCGGTGGAGGACTCATACCCAATAATGTTTAATACTTTTGCGCCCACTTCGGACATAGTTGGTACTGTTCCTGAATTTCCTGTGTTGCTGCTTTCACGAGATGCCGCTGCATTCTCAGTACGTGCACCCTTTTTTAAATCTTTCCAAGTCTGCAAATAAAAGAATATTGAAATACCTACTACTTTCTCGCCGACAAAATTAGTGTATATAAATTTAATTTTGTGTACTTACGGAATTTACCATGAAAATGTAATATGTTATGGACTTACCTGCTTCCACTGATCAATAGTTCTGTCTGGCCCATACTCCTTAAGTATGTCTTTGAGAATTTGCCACTGGGTGTTTGCCCTTTTGGCGCCTAAGGGCCCTGTGAAGTCTCCAGTGGCTAGGTTGTTGTGAGTCGACATAAAGTTGACCAACATGTTAATTTGTTTTTTGTTACTTCTTGATCTGAACGAAAAAAGAATTGTCAAATAATTGGCGATAAATATACACGAACAGGTTATAAAATAGTATCAATTATTGGAAAACGGTAAGATTTGTAGAGAAAATTAGTTGTTTACATTTCGCTTTCATAAAACAATAGTTACTTTACAACATTTTATGTGATAGTACTTACTTTTTGGCGTTCATTTTAATATAAAAACTTCTCCGTGTTAATTTTATGCGACTAAAACGAAAATAGCGCTATGTATAATTTTTTATAACTTTAAAAGTTTGTGAATTGTGACGAAAACTTTAATGCCCGAATACTGAAACGTCCCTCAAATATTTAACGGCTTGTCAAACATTTGAGCAGCTCCTAAACCCTATATTCGTATTCTCATATTTAAATTTTAAGTATCTCTTAAATTTAAGTGTGTCTCAAATTGAGTTGCGCTTAAACACTACTCAACTAAAAAATGGTATACTGAAACATCACTCAATGCGTTTTAGCTGTCAAATCAAATGTCAAATTGATTTAAGTACTCGTTATTATTGAGTGTGGTAGCGAGGACTCTCAAATCTGTTAAAAGTATTTTTCCAGTTTTAAATATGTCCGTTTCGTCGTTATCTTCTCTTTCGGACAACGAAACGCCTTTAAGAAGTCGAAGAAATGATATCAAGCTTAACGCTTTCGAAAAATATGACGATAAAGAATTTCGTGCGCGGTTCCGCGTTTCCAAAGAAACGGTGTTGTATTTGGATTCTGTATTCGGCAGCACGATAAAACCATTGACGAAAAGAAATAGATCTTTGCAGCCCGTGGATCAAATATTGATAACCCTTCGGTATTACGCTACAGGCAGTTATCAACGAGTTATAGGAGACATATTCCACATCGAGCAACCGTCTGTGCATCGAATCGTGCACAGAGTTACAGTAAAAATAGCGAATATGAGATCTCTTTTTATAAATATGCCAACTGCTGAGGAACGTCTAGAAGTAGCAAATGACTTTTATGCAATTGATGGATTTCCTAGTGATGGGTGCTATTGACTGTACGCACATTAAAAATAATTCTCCAGGTACATATTCTAATCATGAGCTATACTTATACTCCTACATTATCATATCTATTATTAATATGTTATATACATACACTCATTGTTATTAAATCTTTGCAGGGGGAGCTCAATCGGAAAGTTTCCGAAATAGAAAAGGTTACTTTTCCTTGAATGTGCAAATGGTATGTGATGCGAAATTGCGCATAAGAAATATCATTGCAAGATGGCCAGGTTCTGTACATGATAGTACAATTTTTAATGACTCACCATTGTGTGCCCAATTAGAAAGAGGAGATTTTACCCCTATGGTACTTCTGGGCGATAGTGGTTATCCATGTCGCCCCTATTTGTTAACCCCAATTTTAAATCCAAGGACACCAGCTGAAGAAGCATATAACCGTTCACAAATTAGAACCAGAAATCCAATAGAAAGGCTCTTTGGTGTTCTTAAAAGAAGATTTCCCTGTCTCCACTATGGGTTAGGTCTGAAGACTACCAATATTCCACCTATTATTGTGGCATGTGCAGTACTCCACAATATTGCTATTTCAAGGCAGGATGAAGTAGTTGAAGAGGATGATCCTTTAACTATTGTTGAGGAAGAAATTATGGTGCAACCCAGCAATGAAACAAATCAAAACTTTATTGTGAGGACATCATTAGTAAATACATATTTTTCTGGTTAATTTTTTTTTTAAATTTTAAAATCAATTCTTTACAACATAACGAATACTAAAAACAATAATCAGTGAAAAGTTTGCTATATCACAGTGTAGATTCATGAAAATACAGTAACTTAATATAATTCTTCTGTGTGTTTATCACTGAACTCCTAAAAGGCTGGACCAATTTCGATGATTTTTTTTGTTTGAGTCCCTGGATGGTTTAAATTCTCAATTAGATCCATTGTTGAGGTCCAGAAATCACCCATAATGTAAAATGTGACAATGTGGTTGTCGATTTTCAAATAAAACTGATAGAATAATTTTTTATTCAATATTGATTATTACATAATACTTCTGAAAGTTTTATTTACCACTGGTTTGGAAAATATCTCTGTCCTGGGAAGAAACAGCAAGAAACACAGTGGGACTTTTTTTCCAAACATATTTCACGTAACAATAATTTCATTTATACAATTTTAAATGATTTTTCATAGAACCAGCATGGTGGCGATCACCTTATTCCAGGGGTTATTTTCATTCATGTATTCCTTGATATTATAATAACCCTTTTTGTACAGTTTTTCTTTAATAAAACTTTTAAACTTGTTTATTGACAAACTTTGAATATGTTAGTATGTTCTGGGATTTTGTTGTAAAAACAAAATATGACATTGCCCCATAAATGAATTACTGTTTCTGTAGAGACTGGTAATTGGATATTGTTTTACTCTAATATATAATTGACAGAGTTTCTGCTTAAGGCAAAAAAGTATGTTACAACTTTTAGACCCGCATTATGTGGTTTACAATTATTCATAAACAGAAATAGTTTAAAATCACCTACATTATTTATTACATCCTGAATCTTATTTTATAATGTAATTACAAACTTAAATAGTATATATACTATAAATCAAATAATTATGCATTTATTTAATCAAGTTATGTTTAATAATAAAAGGTTTAAGTAAGTTTATAATTATGGCTGAGGGCGGGAAACATTTACTAAAAAAAGATAAATTATACAATGTCAAAGTCTTAAATCTAAATATGTTACAGTAATAAAATAAAATATTCATGATATATAATTCTTATTGTCTAGAAGCTTGTAACCTATTTAATTTCAAAATTTGTATTTCTAATTTATATTTGTTTAGTTCCATTTTGTTTTTGTTTATTAAATATTTATTTTCTAATTTGGCATTTCTTTCTTATGCTTTAAAATACTGTTGTTTAATGGTTTCATATGATTTCCTTTTTGTTACATTATGTTGGTGTGCTGAAAAATGTTTATCTAAGGTTAATTTACAACTTTATTAACAAAAAAAAACAGTGTTTAAAAAATCATATATGAATATGTATAATTTACATTATTCATTAGCAAAAATATAATTTTTATCAAGATATTACTCGACCTCACTAATGTCACATAATATATATTAATAATTTATTCCATAATGCACAATTGATGAAAAGTAAAATTAAGTCAATACCTTTTGTATCAGATGTTATTGTATGAGGTTTATTGCTATTCTACTCAATATAGTCATTTGATAAAAGTGTTTGATGGTTATCTAAAAATAAAATTTAGTATGAAAATCAAATATGAATCTAAAATATATAGTAATATAGTATTTACCAGTATTAGCACTGTCATCCTTATTTAAATCATTCACTGTTAAAATAGTTTCTATGTCCTCAGAAATCAATTCTGTGTCACCTGATAAACAATAATTAATTTTATTTCTTATTAAAGATCTAAATTATAGAGATTAAACAAACTAACCAAAATAAAATGCAGCATCATCAAATGGATTTTGCAGTAGTTACACTTGTGGAACAACCATTGTTAAAATCTGAGCATGTTACTGAGTTAGAACTGATTTATAGGACCCACCACCAGTAGAAGTTATTTCTTTATATATAAAAAAAAAACTTAATTACTTAATAGGTACTTAATCAATTATTTTCAAGATATATGGCAATATATACCTTATCTATTGATGCCCTTTTTGGGCCTCTTTTGTTTTTTCATTGTACTGTAGTCTCTAAAAACAAAATGATTATGAAATAATACGAATACAATAAATCGTGACTACTAAATATTTATACAGCGTTGTATTCCTTGCACACAATCCCAAGCTTGTCGTTTCTTCAAAATAATGTGGGCGTTCGTCTCTTTATTTTCTATAATATGTTGATATCTGAAATAATATATAACACGTGTTACAATGTGAACAACTTTTATTTAATTCGCAATGAAATAAAGGGCATTCTATTCGGTTAAAATAATTTGTTTCATTTGAAGATTTAAATATTTACTTACTTTTTTATCAATTCTAATAAAGTATCTTTCTCCGACACTGTGTAATTGCATCCGCGTCTCTTTTTAACATCCATATTTTACTATAATTTGTACTTAGCCTTTAATTGAAACTAGCAAAATATGTTCAATATTAATTCGAAAATTTAAAAATCACTGGACGCGATCAAAGAAACTGACACTGACAGCACATAACAGTAAGATTCTCGATTCGTTCTAGGACGACAGACAGAGCGATTTTCAAAAATTTTATACTTTGAAATGTCCTTTTTATCCACAATATTTAAAAAAAACACATAAATCACATTCTAAATGAAAGTATTATTAGGAGGTTATTTTTGAATATAATTTAAAAACAAATCGAACATAAAATTATTTAAATCTTTTTAGATGATGTTGCATAAAACTTATTTAAATTCAAATATCGTAAAATTGTCAAGAAGAACAAAGTTTTATAAATGAATGTTACCATGACGTAAACATTTGAGAGCTGCTCAACTAATCAAGCCCTCAAATCACTTGAGTGATGTTTCTGTATTTCAGTTAAATTTGAGTGATGCTTAAATATAGGGGACCTTTAATAAAGTGACAGATTTAAGTTGCGTTTCAGTATTCGGGCATTAGTGTTGAAATCACGAGCACAGATAAAAATAAAAAATAATGAAGCTGTGCCACAAACTATACACCTTTGAGCATAGAATTTTCTATGCTCAAAGCTATACTTCTTAATAACTGGCTTTACGGCTCTGAGATCTAGCCCTTCTGAGCCTGAAGTTACAATATATTATAATAATTATCCTTCATAGAATACTGCTTCACAATATGTTGAAGCGTCACATTGTGCAGCCCTTGGGAGATTTTGACGGCAACTTGAGCCAGGAGACAGCTGACGGTCGGTGATGGTATCTCAAGGCGCCTAAGCAGACAGACACCTTATTTTGAGAATCACATCACCATCAGAGCACGGTTTCCACTAATAGTTCATATGCGCAGACACTTAATACACAAAATCGCACCGCTTTTACATATCAAAGTCCACTTCAAACCATTATTTAAACAATAATACAGGAGCAGCAAACCGCCGCCGGTGAAGTTCCCGCCAAAAACTCTCAAAGCTATGCAGAAACACTACGCCGAAGAGTATAGTAACCAAAGAGTATAGTAACTGTGCTATACAGGAATCGCTGTGCTTTGTTTTTTTTATAACTGGATTTACGGCTCTGGGTTCTAGCCTTTCTGAGCTTGAGGTTTACAATGTATAATTATCTTTCATAGTACACTGCTACACCATAGACTTAGAATATACGTATAGACCATAGATAAATATATATGTAGCAAGCTATAGGTATAGACCAACATAGTGTGCAAGGGAGAAGAAAATTCCTTATGGCAAAATGCAAGATAGAAAAGGATACCAAATCTCATGACTTTGTAACCGATTTTGAATGACAGGTCGGCGCAAGTCGGCGCGCAAGAAATAAGCTTGTAGATATTTTGAGTGTTTTTAGATTATAATAGTGTTAATTTGTATAATTTATAGTTTTCTAAAATGGTTTCATCTTCCGTTAGTAACTGTGGTATCAACAATAGAAGTAATCCTGATGGTTGCACATTTCACAGGTAAATTGGCAAGACGTCGTCAATAATAAGACACGTCTATTTTTGCTTAAAATTTATGTTATATTATACTGTTTAAAATATGTAATATTTTCAATTAATGAAAAATTTTGATAGTTTGAAAAGAAAAAAGTCACAATGTTGATGATTTTGGCGAATTCATTTTTAAACAATATATTTTACATTTACGCTAGGGATGGACTCAACTATATCAAAATTAATGTCGACATTTATCTTTAATGTGTTTAAAGAATCGATAGACTTTTATACACAACGAAAAGAAGAATGAAATTAAATGCTCGATTTGCGTTCTAAAAACAAAATTTTATTTTGCCGTTTATCAAACAGATTCCCTCTGGATCCTTTAGTTAGAAAAAAATGGTAGAGTGGTAGAAATTAATTCGGCGGGTTGGTTGGAATCCTAAGAAGAACTCTACAATTTTGTAGTAAACATTTTATTGAGAAATATATAAATATAAATATATAAGAAAAAGCATAGTAAATACAAATTTATTAAAAGGAGCCATTCCTACATTATTTGTACCAGTAAGTATATTATTGTTACAATAAGACAATTTATTTTTATTTTTATAAGATGGGGTGACAAACGAGCACACAGTCCACCTGTTGGTAAGTGGATAAGTGGTTGCTGTAGCCCATAGACATCTACATCTATCCTCGTTTGCGAATCCAAATGCAGATGCGTTATCACCCGTGAGGACTAAGATGGCCTCTTTTCCAGTAAAATGGGTCCCCGATTCTCTACACTTACCATACGAAACACAGCAGTGTTAAACTGCTATTTTACGCTGGTATAAAAATTTAACATCAAAAACTTTAGGTAAAAATAGAGATAGATTTTTATACATTATAAAACTCTATCTCTAGTATTATATATTTTCCCCAAGGGGCTGTGCGGAGCTTTGGAATATATTCCTAAGTCACAATGATAATAATTTTAGCGTAGCTAGGTATGGTTATTGAGTAATGCTACTGAAGCACCACTAGATGCCATGAGGCGCGTGATTTAGTGTACCAGGATAGTATAAATTCCATAGTATTTGATACGCGCAGCGCTTGATGTTCGATTCATGCTTGATGCTCGATGGCAGTGTGCCGAGGGCTTGATAGTGTGGTTCATTACCTACTGCGTTACTCATAGAGAAGAGGAACTCGTAGTTAAGTAACAGTTGCGTAGATAAATAAATCTGCAAGATAAAGGTGCACTTGCTGCGGTCGGTCCATTTGTGGGTGACCGTTTTCTTAACATACTGCGATTGAGAGAATAGAAGAGTGCATCTGTATCCTCGGACACTTGGTGCACTTTAATGTCTCCAGCGTATTTGACTTGTCTATGTTAAGATCATTATATTTTTAAATTCATGCAGATAAAATGATAATAAATTTATTATTACTTTATATTTTTCAGGGACAGATGAAAGAAAGAGTAGCCTCATAATATGTCACTCGTGACATAACCCCTCCGCCTTTGAAATCACAAGAAAGAAGTGATCAATTTACACCAAGAAAAAAGACTTTTATCAAAAATCGAGAAATTAAAACAAAATCTGAAAGAAAAACAAAAGAAAATACGTAGCTTAGCAGCAAAAACTAAAAGACAGGCTAAAAAAATTGTTACATTGCAAATCGTGCTTGAAGAAATTCATTCAAGACCAGGATTGAAAGATCACTATAACGATATCACCATGGCATGTAGCAATGAATTGATACAGAATTTATTTAACAGGGTTAATGATAAAAAACGTGGTAAAATAGTCTCCGCATCCAAATATAACGAAGAATTATGAAAATTTGCTGTCACAATACATTGCTATAGTCCAAGAGCATATAATTATTTACGTGAAAAATTTGATTTGTGTCTTCCACACGTTAACACATTGCGTACCTGGTATACCAGACTAGACTGTGAACCTGGTTTCACTCAAGAATCTTTAAACACCATTAGAGAAATGAGAAAAAAGGAGCTGATCTAAAACTATGTCTCACTTTTGATGAAATGAGTATACGTGAGTACACTGAATGGGTAGGCCAGAAGCATTATGGACAAAGTTTCATGATGCATCAAACACTTCTTAAAAAATGCGTCATGAGCTCTCGGACCAATATAGGCGTTCACTGCTGGTTTCTCTCGAGTCTCATCGGGCGGCTAGGGTTTATGCGGTCGTTCGCGCTCCGAGCAGAATGAACAACTGCAACACCAGAAGAACCAGGAGAATTGCAGATGCGTTGCCGGCCATTTAAAAGGGAGTAGGCTCTTTTCTTGAAGGTCGCTAAGTCGTATCGGTCCGGGAAAATCGCTGATGGTAATCGACTCCACAAGGAATTGTGCGAGGAAGAAAACATCTTCTAATTCGCACAGTGGTGGATCGCCATTCATCCAGATGGTGTGGATGGTATCGGGAGTTCTGCCGCGATGTGCGTTCGTGAAATTTGGCGGCTGGGATTAATCAGAACAATTCCTCAGAGCACTCCCCGTGGTAAATGCGAAAGCAAATGCAAAGGGATGCAACATCTATTCGCAGTGCCAATGAATCGAGCCGATCGGAAAGGGCTCGGTCGTCGACGATTCGAGCCGCTCTGCGCTGGATGCGGTCAAGTGGAAGAAGTTGGCACTGGAGTGCCCAGGCCCAGAGATGGGAACAGTATTCCATGTGAGGACGAACGTGCGCATTGTAAAGTTGCAGGCGTTGTGCCGGCATGAAATAGTGTCCCACTCTGCTGAGCACGCCAAGCTTTTTAGAGGCCAATTTGGCCTTCTCTTCCAAGTGACCACGAAACTGCTCGTCACTCGATATGTCGACACTGAGGATTCCGATACTGACTGAGGCAACAAGGGGAGTGCCTTGAAATTGAGGAGATACGACAAAGGGGTTCTTTTTAGCGGTAAACGCGCAAACTTGTGTCTTCTGAGGATTAAACTGAACTAGATTTAGTCGCTCCCAATCCGAAACTGTGTTCAGCAAAACTCGACTTCAGCCACAAGATTGTTCCGGTACTCGGCGACGTTTCCCCGACAAATATTGGCACGACCGGTGTATAGAGCATCACCGTGCCGTCATCCGCATAGCAATGAATGTTACCAGTTTGCAACATATCATTGAGATGCAGAAGAAACAGCGTTGGCGATAGTATACAGCCTTGTGGAACACCAGTATTAATAGGCTTGTAGTCAGAGCATGCACCGTCTACAATGACCTTGATGCTCCGATCTGCAATGAATCTGGTGATCCAATTGAACAATTTCATGGAAAGCCCATAGGAAGGAAGCTTCGAAATAAGCGCTTTGAGCCATACCCGATCGAAGGCCTTCGCAATGTCCAAAC